TATCCCTTTTGTAGGTATGTTGTGTAGATTTTGAAAAACTAGACCCATTGGTTACTTACTTTGAAACTGTTGCAGTACATGAGGGAAGCAATTACTTTTTGGGGAAGAACACTGGTAGCAGACAACATCTCTAATTTTTGTCAATGCTAGGGGGAACCTAAATTTTCCAAATTGATGTAGCTTTGAAAGACAAATAATTCTAAGCTGATTATAAGGGAGAAAATAAAACTGTACAAACCTTTTAAAGGTTTCAGAGAAAATTTATTCAAAACTCTCAGTACGATGACAAACAGATCTGAATAGGGATTGAAAAATATTTATTTCCTACATAATTGTGAAATAAGTATACTTGATAGGTGCATTCTTCTGTATTTTGTATGATTTTGAAAATGTACTAATGTGAATTTCCTCTTGAGGAACCATTAAGTCAGCCAGCCTGAGTTGTAGTTATGTTGCCTGAGCATGTGAAAAGCAAATTATTTGGGATGTTCACCTTTCTGGAGCAGATACCCATGGAAAATTATTAACTGACATTCCTGTTAGAGATGTCAAGAGATGAAGTGATGGGAAACTCAAATTGAAAGTAACGAAGTGTTCTGTGTCTCATTTTCAAACTTCTTGTTCTAAAACTACTTTGTTTATAACCATACAAATGTACGACTTCAGATCTCTGTTAGTACCGAATGTCCAGTTAGCTTAATTTCAAATGATGGCTGTGCCACGTGTATAGCTAAAGGAGTTATCATTACATTCTTCTCTTTTATTCCTTTTAAAGGAGCCATTTATGATTTATTTACATATATTGCCCTATGCAATCCATTAGACATGAGAGGCTGGTAAGCCAAAGGTAAATTTTTGAAACACCAGTACATACAAGGCTTAAACGATAATAAAAAATAATGAACAGGGAAATTTGTGATTTCATTAATAATATATTATACAGTCAAATTTTCCAATAAGATAAGATTCAGAGATTTTGTCCAGAGATTTATCCTCTTCTGTAGCTCACAATGGGTTACACAAAGTTACCAACATTCCAGAATCAAGATATTTATAAAATGGATTTAGAGAACTATCAAGGATTGCAAGGAATCACTTCTAAAACTTTACAAAGTGATTATTTTCTCTTCAGAAACAAAACTCAGCTCCTCAAGGAATTACTTTATTATTAACAACATACAAATCACCTGCACTTAAAATCTTACTAATTCAGGGCCGGCCTAGTGGAGCGATAGTTAAGAACTGGCTTGGGATGCCAGAGGGCCCTGGTTCGGATCCCACATGAGGGCCAGTGACACTGCCCTCCACAACTAAGATGCTGAACAACAGCTCAACCTGGAGCTGGGCTGCTGTGAGTCCCCAGCGACGGCTAGGCTGCAGCCCCTGCTACTGTATGTAGCCAGCAGCCAGTGTGAGCGGCCAGCAGCCGCAGTGAGTGGCCGTCCAGAAGCCGGCAACTGATCTGCCTCACCCAGGAATAGTGCAATGATGGTGCCAACTTGGGCCAGTGAAGCAACGTCCTCCACAACTAGACTGAAGAACAAAACGACAGCAACTTGTCTGTTCCCCTTCCCCCAATTCACCACCACTGTTCCCATCCCCCCAATTCCCCAATAAAAATCTTAAAAAAAAATCAATCTTACTAATTCAGTTCAACTGGTGAAAAGGTCTTGTTGAATTATGGAACATTTAAAAATGAGTAAATTTGATTTTTCCAGTCAAGATGGTGGAGTAGGTAAATGCTGTTTGCCTCCTCTCATGATCACATCAAAAGTACAATTAAACTACAGAACAGCCATCACTGAGAATCCCCTGAATTCTAGCTGAAGTCCTACAACTAAGGACATACAGAAAAAGCTACCTCAAGACTAGCAGGAAGGGCAGAGATGCAAAACAGGCTGATTCTACACCCGTGGGTGACCACTAAAAATTGGGAGGAGTTACCTTGACTGCAGAGATTGCCTCCAACCCAAGGAGCTACTGGTCCCAGTCCCATACCAGGCTTCCCAGCCTAGGGTTCCACTGCTGGGGAGAGAAGTTTACAAAACATCGGGATGTGAAAACCAGCAGAGATTGTGGCTGAGTGAGGTGACTAGAGTCCCAGGTGATCCCCTTAAAGGGCCCATGCATGGATATCCTCGCTGATGGACTCACTCACTCTGAACTCCACACTGGGGCAGCAGCTTGAAAGGTGCCAGGGACATACAGGGAGGAGCTGAGTAGTCTGGCTACAGGGTGAGGGCTGGAAGGGCAGCATTCTCCTAGACAGAAGTGCTGGCAGAATTTCTCATTTCTTTGTTGAGCCCTCCTCATACTGAGTGGACACCGCCATATCTGGGTCTTCATCAATCTAGCTAACACTGTTTGTTTTCCCTTCCCTGGTGATTCCCTGAGACCCTGCCCCAACCAACTTGCAGGCCCACTCAAGCTGCTTCCAGTGGTTTTTCCATACAAATGGCCTGTCTTGGCTCATGCTAAAGATATTCCTAAAATCTCTCAGTGATGCACAAAACTCAAGCAAGCGGCATCTGGCTTCAGTGTTTCCCATACCTCTTGCTCAGAAGCCTGAAGACCAGCTCTAGTGACAGCTGGCCTCAATTCATGGCTTGGCCTATTGAGACACTTCCAAGCCCAGCACCAGTGGCTGCCATCTGCAAATTGCTTTGTGGCTTATGCCAGGGCCTAGGGGCCCTGGGACTGGCATGCCCAGTAGCCAGCATCAGACTGAGCTGGAGCATCATCCAACTGCTTCCAAGGATGACAAACTCAGTGGGAAGACTGGGCAGGGACCAGAGCCCTGCTAAAATGAATCCTGGTTTGTAGGGTCAGTCCCTGCACAACAGCACCTCCACTATAGTCATGGCCAGTTCTCACAACCAATCTGCCCAAGGACCAATCCTTCCCATTGATGATCCATAGCAACCAAGGCTCAACTACAATAAGAGATCACATACAAACCACACAAGGAACACTCATGGAGTACTGGGCTCAGGTGACCAGGGAGACTACACCACTGAGCCCCATAGCACATAAGGTCTGCTACATAAGGTCATTCTACTATAAGGCTATAACAAGAGACAAAGAATGGCCCAGTAATCCAATTTATGGATATTTATCCAAAGAAACACAAAACACTACTTCAAGGGGATGTGTGCATCCATATGTTCATTGCAGCATTGATTACAATGACCAAGATGTGGAGGCAGCTTGTGTGTCCATTGATGGATGAATGGATAAAGTATAGGTGGTACATATATACAATGGAATATTGCTCAGCCATGGAAAGGAATGGGTCCTTGTCATCGAAGGCAGTGTGAAGGGTATTATGCTGAGTGGAGTATGTCAGACACAGAAAGACAATGCAATATGATTTTGCTTATATGTGGAATCTATAGAACAAAATAAACAAACAAACTCATAGATACAGAGACCATTTTCATGGTTGCCAGATGGAAGGGTGTTGGGGGGTGGGTAAAAAAGGGGAAGGGTTTAAGAAGTACCAATTGATTGTTTCAAAGTAGTAATGGGGATGTAAAGTAAACCATAGGGAATATAGTCAATAATATGGTAATAACTATGCATAGTGCCAGGTGGGTTCTAGGCTAGTCAGGGGGATCACTTCTTAAATTATGTAAATGTCTAATGATTATGCTGTAGATTGAAAATTAATATAAAGTAATATTGAACATCAACTGTAGTTGAAAAAATTTTAAAGGGGGAAGATCAAGGGAATAAGAGGCTCAAATTTCCAGATATAAAACAAATAAGTCATGGGGATATAATACACAGCATAGGGAATATAGTCAATAATATTTTGATGGCACGGCATGGTGTCAAATGTTTGCTCAACTTATCATGGTGGTCACTTCTTTAGGTATATAAATGTTGAATAACCATGATGTATACCGGAAACTAATATAATATTTTATGCTAGCTATATTTTAATAAAAATCTCTTTAAAAGTGAGTAAATTTTATTCTTTTCAGCAGTAGTCTTTAAACAAATGTCCTGGAGGATTTGCAGGAAGGAGTAAAAGATAATTCTGTATAGTATCACATTTTATATCCACACTAGGACCTTGAATTACAATGGCTAGATGAGACCACACCCACTGGTGGTGAGAATAGGAGATATTCAGACTTAGAGAATAAAAAGGGTGAGAGATGAGGTGTAATCAAAGGAGCATACAGTCTAGGCACGCTTGCAGGCATGAGGGGTCCAAAAGCTATGTTTTTTGCTACCATAAAATAATGTTTAATGTGTGTTTAATGCCATTGTGTTTCTGGACGAAGAATGCTATGCCAGACTGTGCTTGGAAATTTTCAACTGATTCTTTCAAGTGGCTCTTTAAATGAGTAAAGCAGTTTTAAATACATCTTTTCTGCTTTGATTGAGGAAGAAAATGTGTTCCCAGTTGCAATGTTTCTGCACTTGATGTGATAGAAAGAAAATTGGATAGGAAGAATGAAGCATGTTTGGATTTTTTTACTCTAACAACATTTTGACTCTTTGTGCCTCAGTTTCCTCATCTGCAAAATAAAAATGGTGAACAAAATTATATCTATGCCTAGACTCCTTTCCAAATGCACCATTAATATGGTTACCTAATTGTGTAATACAAGATACAAACACTGATAAAGTGAGCAAATGACCAAATAAATACTACAATCACATTAGTTGTATTATCCAGAGCAGTTTTTCAGAAGCAGTGGATATCCATTAATGGACCCTGATATCAACTTAATGTATTCCAACCATCATTTATCAGTAAGAAATAAAATAGAATGGCAAATATGAGAGTGCACGGCAATAAGTAAGGACATATATTGTTTCTTGAAGCTTTTATTGTAGTAGCTTCCATATTATATATTTATGTGTGTGTTTACTGAGTCATAGTGTAAAATATATTTCTTATTCTTCAAAGACATCAACATTATTTGTAAACCTCTTATTTAGAGTGTCTTCATTTGGGCTCAGGAAGAAAAGAGGTTTTTACTCACCAATAGTGGGGTCATGATAATCAGGGAACTGATGACTAATAAACTGCATTGTCATTGCTGAAAAAAAAAAATAAATTCACTTTAATAAAAAAAAAATCACTGATTCATCAATAAGTTATTCACCGATGTACTTCATCAGTCTTTTAATAGGTTCTCGTAAGTGACTTATTTCTGTGGGTGACTAATTTAATTACACAGTATGTACCACAAAATGATGATAATAAGAAAAAGTTCTAGAGGAAAAAAATGTATCTAGAGTGAAAAATAATGCCAGATACTTCTTTGGAACAAATATGTCTAAATTTTAAGTCTATTTCAATAAAAATTGTGTTGGAGCGAAAATGAGAAGGCTACTGACATAATGAAAATGCAAACTATAATATCTGTAGGATCCTTTTTTTGTCTTCCTCTAGTTAAACAATTGATATTCATTGGGAAGATCTTTTTACTAAAAGTCCTATCCATTCTCTGGGAATTGACCTCTTAATTTTTAAAATAAAAAGACAATCTCTGAGGTTTCTAGTAGTGGGAAAGGTATATGCTTATATGAGTTTTTATACTTAGTTAGCTTTTCACATTTAAAGTTATTGAAGTCCATTTTATTTTGCCTAATACGTGTTTTTTAGAACCTTTTATTAAGTTGCATTACTCTTTTTGGTATCTCCTGTAAATTCTCTACATTCCTCTAAATCTATACTTTTGTGATACATTTGCAGTATTTCTTTTGCAAAGTTTCCTCATGTAAACTTTCATTATTAGGAGACAAGGGAATTCTGAAGTAAAGAAACAAACTCAGAAAAGAAAAGATTTGTATGTATAATCATTCTCTTCCTTCTCTCTCTCACTCTCTCTTTCTCTGTGTGTGTGTGTGTGTGTGTGTGTGTGTGTGTGTGTGTGTGTGTGTGTGTGTGGTTTGAGACAAGCACTCTCCTTGACCAAACTTGAGTAAGGATCCTCTGAGTCCTCTCCTCAATTAGACCTTGACCTTGTCCCCATCCTTGCTAAGCCTGTATACCCCACTTGTAGCAGGAATCCTGCTGTCAGTTTAGTGAGACTCTCCCACCCTTGATACCTGATCCCCCTCAATATCAGATCAAATCCCTCATTCCCCACTCTTTTTTTATTAGTTTCAGGTGTATAAAACAATGCAATAATTAGACATTTACACCCCTCACAAAGTGATAACCCCTTCCCCCAATCTACTACCCCTCTGATATCATATTTAGCTGTTACAATTCCATTGACTCTATTCGCTATGCTGTACTCTACATCTATATAATTATATATATATATATATATATATATATATATATATATATATATATATATATATATATCATTATAGTGGACATTCAATATTATTCAGCTTCAGGTGTATAGAGCAGTGGCCAGGCATCTACACAGTCCATAAAGTGGTCTCCCTAATAAGACTAATGCCCATCTGACACCCTACAAAATCTTTACAACATAATTGATTATATTCCCCAAATTGTCTTTCATATCCCTGTGGCAATATTGTGGCTACTAATTTGTACTTTATAATTCCATTACCTTCTTCCCCATCCCCACCTCCTCCCTATTTATTTATTTATTTATTTATTTATTTATTTATTTATTTGTCTTTAAATTAAAGTTCATTGGTGTGAAAATTGTTAGCAAAGTTACACAGATTTCAGGTGTACAATTCTGTAATACATCATCTATATATCACATTGTGTGTTCACCACCCAGAGTCAGTTCTCTTTCCATCACAATATATACCACCCCAAACACACCCAATCTCATCCCCTCTCTTTTTTAAAGCATTAATTAAATTTACTGGTGTAACTCTAGATATCTGATCACTGTGGTCTATCTTCAACAAGAATTATTTTAAGCCTATTTAGTAAGATCCCCCTTAACGTTGATGTTTCCTTTTAATAATTTCCCATCCACCAATGCTTATCTCCACTTCTTGACTATAAATCCCCACTTTTCTTTGTTCCATTTGGAACTAGGTCCAATGGTACAATGAGTTATCTTTTTCCCCATTGCAGTAGCTCCCGCCAAAATCTGTTTTTAACACTTTACTGTTTGGCTCTGGTTCCCTCTAACAGTGTGTATATGCTTCAGCAAATGTTCAGAGCAGGGAAGACAGTTAAATTCAACAAACGTGTACAAGACACTAGTCTAACCCTGCTGAGAAATGCAAAGGTGTGGAATCCGACTCAGTGAAACAGAATTTCTATTTACACTTTAATACTTTTATACCTCCTGTCTTTGCATTGACAAAGGAAGTCTCCAAATGAAATTATTACTTACTTTGATAGTTTAGGGCAAGTTTCTGAAATGCAAATCAAGATGCCTTACAGATAGCTTTAGGAGCTATAATGTTTCAGATAAACAAACTGAAAGCAACATGTTTATTAAGTGGACATCAAGGAGAATTTAGAAAATGTTTTTCTCAAGTTTTAAAATAGCTGCCTCCTCTATCTCTTTGTGCCCGGTTGGTTAAGTCTCATAGAGGTCAGACGCCCGGCCTCATAATGAACAAATGGGCTTGGCTAGTTAATCAACTCAATTTCAAAGATAGCTCAGACTCAGCACATTTGAAAGTAAAAGGAAGACATTCCCACTTTAACCGCCTCTAAGCAAACAGATATGCATCTATTTACTAATTGATGGTGACTAAGAGCCTCACCATCCATCTTATGATAGTCAATTATTTAGGTTAACACCTTAAAGATGCCTTTGGACACTTACCCTCTCATATCCTCCATCCAGCACCATGAATTTTTATTTTTACCTCCTAAATATCTTTCAGATGTATCTCAATTCTTTCTGATATTATTCTAGTTCAGAGTCATATTTCTCTTGAAAATCTCTTTTGCAATAGACTCAAAACTGATTTCTCTGTAGGTATGTTCTTTCGCTTCCATTAGCACTTTCAGAATGGTAAGAGAATCATCATTTAAAAAACAAGGATGTCATTTATATGTCAGTAACTATTAGGATAATGACCATAGTTGTTAACTTGTCTTATGGGCTTTCATATGCTCATCATAGCTTTTCAGTCTCAACTTATACCACTACTCAAACAGCTACTCTGTGTTCTCAGACTTCCTGAAGTACTTTCTATCCATGAGCATGCCTTTATGCTTGGGAACAGACTTTACCTTCTTCTTCATTTTTATATCATACTAACGAAGACTCTCCTTGACTAAACTTTAATCAGCCTCCTCTGAGCCCTCCTATAAAACTAGGTTTCAACACTTAGCGTATGTGTTCATCTCTGCTTTGCCCAGGTTTAGCAAGAATCCTGCTAGGTCAGTGTAGAATGAAATCTTCACAATAGATATCTGCTCACCCATAAAATATGATAAGATTCCTCAGTCTCCACTGAGGTCCCAGGTGACCTCTGATTACCTTAGCTAACATTCAGGAAGTTCCCTCTTAAATCTGTTTAACCAGAATCCTCCCTAATCCTGTAGCAACTTCCCATCCCCTGACCCCTACCCCACTCTTTAGCTATAAATTCCCACTTGTCCCTGCTGGATTTGGAATTGAGACCAGTTCTAAACTAAAGTCTCTTTCCCCTGTTGCAATAGTGCCTAAATAAAATCCATGTTCACTGCGTTAATTATTGTCCTGATCTGGTTCTCTTTCAAAATGCTAATAATGATCAATACATCTACACAGAGGTCACATCATTCAATCAACACATTTAAACTCTTCATCTGCCAAGCATCAGTACATCATAGTTATGGTAGCTACCAAGAAGCGTCACAAAACATTGTGTGTATTTATTGGCTAAGTTAATTACTATAAACTTGGAAAAATGGTTTGAAGGCTGAAGAAGTTTGGAACAAATTTTAGGGAAAATATATTAACGTTTTAAGAACTTACATATTTGCTTTTAGACTTCAGAATCACAAAAGCCAGTATTAGAAATAAATGAATCAGTCAATGATTTACCCATTACACTTATTTATAAGAACAGCAGCAGGTATTTAGATGATGAAGTCTGGGCTTTAATGGAAACCTGCTGCTTATAGCATAATTGAAAAAGCCCTTCAATTCTCAAATCTGATTTGAACTGAGAGCCAGCTGAGCTTTGTTCCAGAACTTCAAAGATTATTTTAGAAAGATTGATTTGTAAAAGTTTCTTTTGTGTTTTACATTGTGAATGCCTGATAGGACATCTAAGAGCCATTTCCCTTTGCGAAGATAATATGTAAAACAAACAATTTTTGCAAAACCTCTCCTAAATATTATCCTTATCAAGTTCAATGTTGGACATGAACAATCTACTAAATGCCTATCAATAGCACTGGGGACTAAGTCTTATTCATTTTACAACATATAGGTTTATGTCATCAAAATTTTTTACTCCTATTTTTGTTTGCCAAAGAGCCATTTCGTAAGAAAATCAATCACAGTTACTGCTCTCTTTTCAGAGATTTCAACTGTATTGACTTTGTAATATCAATACATTGGTTTTTAAGAATCTACTGAAAGTGAAGGTCTATGTCTCCTTCCCAAAATGTACATTCACACACATATATGTACACAATATTCAGAGGTAAGTAGGGATCAATAGGTCCCAAGGAATAGCACTTGTCTTAGCAAATACCCACATATGTCAGAAATGAGACTTTTGAATGAACCTTTTGTTTAAAAAGAGGACATCCATGAACAATGTGATAGAAGAGCATCTGAGAACAACATTAAATCTGCCTCTCAGGAATCCCTAATAGTCAGTTTAGATATTCGTATATCACTATGTATATGTTTTTAAAAAGAAAAAAAAAATTCCTTTGATGAGCAGCATACAAAGTTTCTAACATTTGAAAGTGAACCGGCTCAATGGATCAAGTTGACAAAACCCCCCTAACAAATATGACCAATCTATACTCAATATATTCAGGAAAGACATAGAATAGCAATGCAAGGTAGTATTAGAAAAAATTTTTACAAAAATTATTCTAGAAGTTACCCTGGCTGTGCGTTTGCTGTTTTGTAAAAGATAATAAGAATCATCTTGGAAAATTTCAAACAGAAGCAATCTTATTTTGAGG